CGTTTGAATCCTGTAGAAGACAGGAGAGGCAGAGGGGTGTGGTGCTGAGCTAGGGAGGACCTGAGAGTTAAGCTCGGGAGCTGGGGAAATGTCCCCTGGAATTACTGAACTGGAAACATCCGGTGTCATTTTTGAGCATCCCTGTTCAGTGACTGGCTTCTCTCTGTATGAATAGTTCCAGTGAGGGAGCCTTCTCTAGACCATTTGTCCATTTTCAGATAGCTCTCAGCGTAAGAAAATTCTTCCTTCCATTAAATCAAAGCTTATGGTTCTAGCTGGACCTTTTCCAAGGTGTAGACAGTGGAAAGCCATTGGAAGATTTTAAAGGGTAGAGGAACAAGTTCAGGGCTATATAACCTGAAGTGGTCCTATGGCAGCCCACATATAATATGTACCCCAAAGGAAGAAACTTTAAAAAGCATTCTATTCATGAAACATGTGTTAAGCATCTATGATGGGTCAGTTAGTAACCAAGGGTCTATTGCTAAGAAAGATCCTGCTCTCTCACTTGTCCCAGGCTTAGGGGAGGATGGAGCAATAGACCATGGTGACCAGGACTTGGGGAGTTGGGGGCAGGAGTACTTAACCTGGCAGATGGAGGTCAAAGGGCAGGTAAGGGTTCATGATGTTGAGGACCTGGCCAGATGGATCAAGCAGGCAGAAGAGAGAGTGCCCAGGTGGAGAGAGAGAGTGGGTAGAAACACCAGTGAATGCGGCCTGTTTAAGGAACAGAAAGATCTTCTGTGGTGGGAGCGTGGTGTGTAGATAGTAAAGTGGCTACACGTGAGGCTGGCGCAGTAGGCAAGGTCTTGTCATAAGGGGCTGTGTTTGCCAGGCTAAGCATTTTATATCCTGAATTTGTTGAGAAGCCAGTGTTCTTATATGTAGTCTTTCCTTCCCAGTTTATAGAATGTACATATACTCTTTTAAAAATACTAGAACATATGGAAAATATGAAGGAAGAAATAAAACTCACCTTTAATCTCACTAACTAGAAATAAGCCCTGTTAAAACATGTGGCTCATTTCTTACCAAGTGTGTTTCTATGTATAGATAAAGAAGGAGCCAAAACCGGATTGGCACAGTGGATAGAGCATCGGTCTGCGGACTTAAGGGTCCGAGGTTTGTTTCTGGTCAAGGGCATGTACATTGGTTGTGGGCACATCCCCGGTGGGGGGGTATGCAGGAGGCAGCTGGTCGATGTTTCTCTCTCATCGATGTTTCTAGCTCCCTATCCCTCTCCCTTACTCTCTGTAAAAAATCAAAAAAATATATTAAAAAAAAAGGAAAGCATAATCTTATTGCAAAATATAGTCTACATCCTGCTTTTTCTAATGTAATTTTGTACATTAGTATTTCCCAGGCCATGCCATTAAAACTTATTTGAGAATTTAATTACTAAGGACTATATATAATGGCCCAAAAGATGACTATGTCTTACACTTACATGCCTCATAATGGAATAAAATTTAAGTTGCTAGCATTGTCCACTATCTATAATAATAAAAGCATAATATGCTAATTAGTCAGGACATCCTTCCAGACGAAGCGGGGGCTGGGCGGGAAGCCTGGGTCCCGGATGCTGGCCGCCTGAGAGAAGCCCGGGGCCTGGGGCCAGAGGGAAGCTGGTGCCGGCAGCCTGGGGAAGGAAGGCCTACTCTTGCACGAATTTCGTGCACTGGGCCTCTAGTTATAAATAATGTTGTGACAAGCAGCCTTATTTTTAACTTGTATTCCCATGTGCCTATTTCCTTGGGGTAAGTCCAGCCATACCCGTGGTTGCCTTTTAAGCAGGGACATGATGGACTCCACTGTATGTTTGAAAAGCGTTATGTCACCAATGTGCAGGGTGGATTGGAAAGAGGTGACAAGCAGAACAATTTAGGCTAAGTATGAGGATATAACCTAACGCAGAGGTTGGCAAACTCTCGAGCCACATAAGGCTCTTGGCCCCTTGAGTGTGGCTCTTCCATAAAATACCACGGCCTGGACGAGTCTATTTTGAAGAAGTGGCGTTGGAAGAAGTTTAAGTTTAAAAAAATTGACTCTCAAAAGAAATTTCAGTTGTTGTACTGTTGATATTTGGCTCTGTTGACTAATGAGTTTGCCGACCACTGACCTAAAGTATTAGCATCAAGGCCCAAGAAAAGAGGAGATGCTAATGCTTCTGACATCATGTTGGCTTGTTTGTTGTTTGTATCATACCAGCTTTCTGTGAACCTGTTGGCAGTTTTTACACATTAATTTGGGGGTTTCGGGACCTCTAAGGTGACTGTAGTGGGTAGGGTGAGGAGGGCAACAGGAGCTAATGGTTCTATTCTCCACGGTAGGAAATACCAAGGGGAAGAGCAGCTTTGAAGGGTTGGCTTGGGGAGGAGGAATTTATGAGCCTGGTATTAAGTGTATCAGGTAAAACTGTCAGGGAGATCGTTTGTAAACTGACCTAATGTAATCACTTAGGAGAGAGGATGTGAGGAGGGGAGAGCCATCCCCACAAAGATGGTTGTTTTGAGACTCTGGACACAAGAGTAGTCCTAGCGATCAGGGTGTTCATGAGAAGAGCACTTGGGACACAGCGGGGAGACTACTTACTCCAGAGTAACAGACAGGCGGGAAGTGGAGGGAGCTGGGAGCCGGGTCCGAAGAAAGCCAGAGGAGAATGGTGCTGAGGAAGCCAAGAGAGACAAGTCTCAGGGAAAAAGCCATCAAGCTGTCACATGTTGCAGAGGCCAAGCAGGAGGAGTATGGGAGGGTGTCCACAGGAGCAATTTAGTCACCGCTCATGTGGGATGAGCAGGTTCAGAGGAGTTGTGGCGGGAAGCCAGGTTGTAGCTACGTGGTGAGGAGTACAGAGAGCTGGGAGGAGTGCTCATGGCTTTTCTAAGTAAGATAGCTTGGGAAGGGCGAGAGAGGACAAGGCGATAGCTGGAGTGAGGGGAGGCAGCAGCAAGATCACTTTTTCTTCTTGTTCATATTAAACAAGCAAAGCTAGATTTCCAAGTTGTCATGTGACTTCAATTACCTCTCCAACATTTGCTGTTTGCCATGATGAAAGTGCTTCTATAGGTGATTTTTTTTTGACATGAAAAAACTTCCAATGAAAGCACTACTGCCCAGGTTCCTCCGACCTTACTTCAAGTTCTGTTTCCGAAAGCTGAGGCGCCCATGTTGGTTCATACAGTCTCATTGGATTTTAATAAGACTCTTCTCAGTTTTTAAGCTTCAGCATGCTGATATTTGGGATTGCAGTTTTAAAATTGCAGAATATGACTTGTGTCCTTGAAGTTTGACCTGATGTATTGGTACAAAAAATTGTAAATGTTTAGATGTTACAGTTCAGAGAATATTTTTATTGTATTGCCAAATGCTGAATGACGGAGAGCTTTAATCTTAGCAAGCTCTAATTAGAAAGAGAAAACAATCAAAGGGTGATGCCAGCCAGAATCAAAGTGAACCAGAACAAGAAACACTTTTATTGGTTACAGAACATCAACAATGTGTGATAGTCTTATTCATTTCCTTACAAGCAATAAAAACATAGCACGCTGTCTCTAGGGGCTTCAGATAGTCTTATTATTCTGATAGGTGTTTTTCATTGGAAGTGTAATGCTCTTTGGGGCTGCAGAAAATTATTTTTAGAGATATGCTAAATTTTCTTGGCTTAAAAATACACAATATGGCAAATGTTTCCAATGTAAGAAGTGCATAGACAATGCACTGTACCCTCTGGTTTCTTGCTTATGGGTGAACTAGCCTATTTGTGAGTATTCTCTCAGCACAGTTGCTTTAACAATGTTGATGTCAAAAAGTTGTCACTTTTTTTACAGGTCATTGTGTTATAATAAAATAGTTATTCATGTAGGAGATAAAACAGAGGATATATGCATATACATTTATATATTTTTTTCTTTATTAAAAAAAAAAGGGTTATTTTCCCCGTAAGATGAGATTTACCTTTCTTCAAGATAAAGATTTTACTCTGAAACCTTTGTCCTTTCTCATTTCCCTTTGTTTTCCAGTGAGGTTTAATATACTAGTTTTAATTCTCATTGGACCTTTCTCCCGGCCATTCCACCCAGAACCTTTAGACCAGTGCTTTAATTATTCTTTCACCATTCTTGTCAGCTCTTACCCTTGACTTTTCATTAAATCTAAACCAGTGTGCCTATTTTCAGCCCAACCCATCTGTCTGTCTCTTTGCTACTGATCCTGGGCAGCTGGCAGCTAACACTTGACAGTTATGACCATTGTACCCTCTATAAATTTATTGTGTAAAATTTTTTAGGCCCTCAAGATAGTCTTAGACATGCTTGAGTATTTCCTTAAGCAGTGCTCCCCTTTGTGACTATTCTGCCCCCATCTTTCAACTTTCTCCCTGCCACCTGTTCCCTCAGTCTCAGGAAATGATCATGACTTTTGTTTTATTGAGGTAGGATTGCTGAACATCCACTCCCTTTACTACCATTCCCTGTCACTACTTACATATTTTCTCAGTCCATATCATCTTCATTATTTTCCTACCTTTTCTCCTTTGTCACCAGGCCGCTCCACTTGAAAGAGTAGTGCCTGCTTGCTTCCCCTTCTGTTCTCCAGCTTCCATACAAACTTCTCTTAATAGGTCTATATGTTAACACCTGAGAGATAGTTTTCACCCTTCACTTTATGGGATCCCTCTGGTATTTCAGCATTACTGAGCACTACCTCTAAGCATCTTCCTCAGTTTTTATGAAACCCCCACTCTTGAATTTTCTCCCATTTTAGAGTCTCACAAATTCAAAGTTGTCATTTTCCCAAAATAACAGGAAAAAAATTTAAGCACTTAATGCTTTATAAAATAATGATGAGTGTGAATGCATATAATGCAGTATTAACTATACTTCTAAAAATTATATTATACATTTATATTACATAAATATATTACAATTCAGTGTTGGTTATAATTTTAAAAATGAGACGGTTATATTAACTATTCCTTGTTTTGTTTTGTTTTTCTTTCCTAGTTAATGAAGGAGTTCCCCTTGCTAAGCATGTTCAACATCCACGAAAACCTTTTAGAGGCCCTTCTGGAGCTACAAGCATATGCTGATGTTCAGGCAGTTTTAGCAAAGTATGATGGTAAGTCCTTGGTTTTTCTTTAAATCTACTTGAGTATTCTTCTTTGTGATGTATTTAAGTGATTAGATTGGCCTGGCTGGAATGACTCAGTTGGCTGAGCATGGTCCTGTTCACCAAAAGGTTGTTGGTTCAATTTCCTGGTCAGGACACATGCCGGGGTTGTGGTTCAATCCCTGGTTAGGGGACATACGGAAGGTTGATGTTTTCTCTCACATCGGTCAGTCTCTCTCTCTCTCTCTCTCTATCTATCTCTCTCTCTCTCTCTCTCTCCTCTTAGAGAATTTTTGTTAACGGTTTTATGATGGCATTTACAGAACCTCACAATTCAATGGTTAGTGGGGGCCAGAAATGTTGAGTGTCCTGTGCCACATCCTCTCCTTCCCTCCCAGCAGATTCCCCGCACACTCGTCCCGTCAGTGTTCTGCTTTATTTCCTCCATGGCTGGAAAACACTCAGCACCTCTGTGGGCAGCGCTTACCCTGCTGGGACAGTGCTGGCTGCTGAAGCTCCTGTTATGACCCCCACATTGGTTGACTGTGTTCACTACCTGTTGGTCACGGTGAGCCCTTGCTACAGCCCTCGTGACAACTTAGTAAATATCTGAAGATAAAATTATGTCCCCTTCATACCAGGTCTTCTCCTTAGTAGCGGAAACCCCCATTTCTTCACATGAGGGACTTTGAAATCCCTTAGCTGTTCTGGTTACCGTGCATGAGCTTATTCCATTTTGTCTGTTATTTTTATTTTAAAATCTTCATTGTTGAGAATATTACAGATGTCCCCATTTTTCCCCCACTACCCCCCTCCACTCAGTTTCCACTCTGCCCCAGGCCTTCACCACCCTGCTGGCCATCCTGTAGTGGTCACACGGGGCCAGGATCTTTTGACCACATGGAGGCAGCCATATTGTGTGTTGGAGTGATGATCAATCTGCATATTACTCTTTTATTAGATAGGATAGAGGCCTGGTGCGTGGGTGGGGGCCAGATGGTTTGCCCTGAAGGGTGTCCTAGATCAGGGTAGGGGTTCCCTTGGGGTATGGGGTGGCCTGGGCCAGGGGCCTGTGGTGGTTTGCAGCCTGGCCACACCCCCTGGCAACCCAAGGGGAGGCCCTGGTATCTGGAATTTATTTACCTTCTATAATTAAAACTTTGTAGCCTGGAGCAGAGCCAAGCCCCCTGCTCACTCCATGGCATTTGGTTTTATGTATCTTCTATAATTGAACTTTGTAGCCTTAAGCAGAGGCCTGGACCAGCCAGGGTAGGTGGAAAGCTTTGCTTCCTCTGTTGCTGGGGCAATCCTATCCTGCTCTCTCCAGCTCCATGGCTGCCACCATTTTTCTTGGGATTTATCTTCTATAATTAAAACTTTGTATCCTTGAGTGGAGGCCTAGGCTGGCCAGGGTGTGTGGAAAGCTTGGCTTCCATTGCCAGGGAAACCCAAGCCTCGGAACTGCTTTCTGTGGCTGCAGCTATCTTGGTTGGGGTTAATTTGCATACTCACTCTGATTGGCTTGTGGGTGTGACTTGTGGGTGTGGCTTGAGCGGAGTGATGCTAATTTGCATAATATTCTTTTATTAGTTAGGGTGATTACATTTTGTACTTTAGAAAATATTCTTTCTTTAGTAAGTATATTTAGTGCATTTAATAAATTATTCAGGTAAAACTTTCAAGCATATCATCAACCATGTAGAGCAAACTATATTTTTGAGGCTTATTTCTAATTTTTTATATATTTTCATTGATATCAGAGACGAAGGGAGGGGGAGAGAGAGAGAGATGGAAACATTACTGATAAAAGAGAATCATTGTTTGGCTGCCTCCTGCAAGCCCCACAACCTGGTATGTGCCCTGACTGGGAATCAAACCATGACCTCCTGGTTCATAGGTCAACACTCAACCACTGGGCCATACCAGCTGGGCATTTGAGTCTTATTTTTGACACACAATTCTTTATAAGGAATCTCTGAAATAGGTTGTAGTTAGGTCCTACGGTTAGAAAAACAGGCATTATAAGACTGCATTTGGTTTTTGTTGTTAATTCTTGCTCACTGATGGAAACTATAAGCCCTCTGCCAGTGACGGTGTCTCTTGGCCTGTGCAAATACCAGGACCCTGGGGGACAAGGTAAATGCTACCAGGCATGGAAGCAATGTTAGCAAAGGAGAAAAGTGTTTGTGGTACACTTTATAGTAAGCAAACTAAAGACTGGCCTTCACATCAACTCAAATTTTGCCCTGTTTCTATGCTGGAATCTCACTGTGTGGCTGACTTTGGAAGTCTAAGTCATGAGACTACGTTATAGGCATAATGCTTATACAGTGAGGGTCTTCTTACACCAAAGAAACCCAGCCCCAGGCATTTGGTTCGGGTGACCATGAATTTTTCCAAATGCCACCCTTTAGTAACCTAACAAGTTTCCAGTGTTTTCAATCCATGCCAACCTGTGCTCAACCTGATACATCAAGGCTTAAGAAAAAAAAATTTAACTAATAGAGCCTTAGGGATCTCAAATCTCTGAAGTCTCTTTTCATGAAGATCTCAGTTCATTAGATAAGTCATCAGCTTTGTATTATAAGACAGATTGTAAAATAAAGAAATGAACTCATTTGGAGCTTTCTGTCATCTCTATCCCATCGCCTCGCCTCTGTTCCACAACAGCAGAAAGCTAATTTATTAGATTCTGATAACATATGTTCACATTATTTGTTACAACAGCTGTCCCACCCTCTGCTAGAATTTGGCTTGCACGTTGCAAAATTCCTTTGTTGCAAATGGACAAACTTACCATACCAAGGCCCTTGTGTTGAGTTTTGTTTATGTTGTGTACCTGGCAACAGAGATGATGTTCTTGTTCATTATTCATGGAAAAAGAGCCTCATTAGTGGCAGACACATACTGTTGCTGAGATGCCTCGTTTGGGGTTGTGAGTTCAACAGTTGTCAATAGACTGCAGATGACCTAATCCCGACTGAATTCTGAAGGTTGTTTTGGTGCGGACTTGGCTCAGACCTGTGTCATTTACAGTAGAAATATAATGAAGTGGCTGCTGAAGTTACTGTTCTTGAGGAGTGAGCTGCAACCACACACGATTATTAAAAACCGGCCTCTTGTTTCTCACACAATTCCATAAAGTGGGCTTTTTCAAGTTTATCCCTGCTGCTTTCCCTGGAGAACCAAAGGAACTCTACTAAGTTGTCCCATTTTCTGGCCCTGTTTGGAGCTTTCGAGGGCTTGGAGTATAGATAGCAAGTAGGGTGCCCTGACAGTGGTTCGGATGCCATCACTCTAATCCATGCCACGCTGGACACAGCACTTTGAATCCCAGATTCTCCACCCCTCTCTGTTGAGCCACATCTGAAACAGCAGGAGTATATGTTATGTTTGCAATTTGGAAGGTTCTTGTTGGATACCTGTTTCTTTATGGTTTCTGGGTACACCAGTCCTTCTTTATTACTTTTTCTAGGGGGCGGAATGTTTTTAAGTTGTACGTTGGGAAGTGACACAATGAGAGTAGTGCAGCTTTTCTGACCTTTACAAAAAGGATTTAGAAATACGGCAGGAACAGGGTGCAAGGAAAGGAGGAAGGCAACATGTATTCCCTTTGCCTCTTCTTCACTGTCTCCTGGGGGTTGTGTGTGTGTGTTTTGAGTTTTAACAGTGACATTCACAAACTCCTTTTGGAGTGAAGTACTTTGGAAGCTATGCATCCTAATAGGATTACCAGTTATTTGGTCACACATCTTTGTAATCCTCAATCTGATTTTGATTTTGCCCTTGAGGTAACTTCTCATGTTATGTTAAGCTCTCTCAGCCATTAGTCTGAAGTGCTGTCTTGCCATCCTCAGGAGTTTTCATACTCTATCGTTTTCAATTTGGGTGGGTCATTTTTATCCGGGTGATTGATCCTGGATTTGGAGTGTCCTTTACACAATGAGTAAACTAACAGCAGCAGCAATAGCTAGCGTTTATTCATTCTTACAATGTGTCAGGGTCAGACATGATTCTAAACCCTACATGGAAGAATTCATTTATGCTCATCACAAGCACATGAAATAGATGTTACTATTAGCTCCCCTTTCCAATTGTGGCAACTGGTGCCAAGAGAAGTTAAGTAATTTGCTCAAATTAAGGGCCTCATATGAGAAAGTAAAGCCAGGAAGATGATATGTTATGAGAAAAGAGATAGACTGAGAACATTCTTTTTCTCAGTAAGAGCTGAATTCTACAAGGAAAGGAAAGCCAGAGTAAAAACTGAGGTGGTCTGACTCCAGGCCCATGATCTCAGCCATCACACTTCCGCCATCTCTGCTGCTGCCAATATTTTTAAAAATTGTTTTTATTAACATGGTTTTATTATTAATTAGCTACAATTTATTTTAAAAAAACTATCATGGGCCAAACATGCTGTACACATTACCTTTAACCCTCACAATAACTTTGCAAGGAGGTGGTTATTCCATTTTAGCAGATGCAGAAACTGAGACTTGTGAGTTGAAGTAATTTTCAAGACCACATTCCTTGAACCATGCAGAACTGGTGGGATCCACATCCAGGTCTCTCTGCTTTTAAGAGCCCATGTGCTTTCATAAACATGAGCCTTCCTGAGGTGATTTTCTCTGCCTCTCTCACTCCTCTTATGAAGGCATGGAGTAAGCAGGCTGTAGCATGGTGCAAAATATGGTTGGTGCCAAATTGTCTTTTAAGATACCTTTTTAATCATTCCTTAAGCTACGAAAGGTATGTCTGTGTTTGCTTGTCTTTCTGAAACTCTCTTCACAATCTGGCTTTCCATCTTTAATCAACTTGTATCTGATTTCTTTAGTCACAAAAGGGATTTGATGTATGGTGTTCATTTAACTTGAGACTTACCATCTTTTTTTTTTTTTTTTCCAGTCATACATTTGTTATAAGGACAGGAATGTTTTTAAAATTATTATCAACCTTGTTTTAGAAGCCATTATGAATGTTGTTACAAACTTTGGATTCCCTTTATAGGC